TATCAAATGAATGGAAGGAAGTGTATATGAGGAAATGTGTTTTGTTTGTCTATTTTTTTTTAATATATGTAAGAGAAAGAGAAAGTAGTTGCCAAGTTAGAGAACTCCACTCACTCTACTCAAACAGTACTGTAAAAGGAGTAATGTGTGGACTAAGGACTCTGGCACCAACTTAATGTGGTGGACGCTTCTCTGTAATTCAGAGCTGTACTTGGGCAGTTCAGGGCCACAGATATGCTGAGCCAGAGGCTCTCTAGACAATGGGAAAATAAGGATCAATAATTCATGATCTTTGTTATCAGCCACATGAAGGGAGACATATCTGTAAATAAAAAAGATGTAGTATAAGGTGTTGAATAATGTGACAAAGATATGCAAGTACAGTGATCTTTGTTATCAGCCACATGAAGGGAGACATATCTGTAAATAAAAAAGATGTAGTATAAGGTGTTGAATAATGTGACAAAGATACGCAAGTACAGTGTTTTATATAAGACATACCTGGTCCATTGGGAGCAGGAGGTAAGCAAGGAAGGCTTGTCTCAAGGCTATGAAGTCTCCCTTGAGTTGAGTCCTAAAGGATGAATAAAAAATAGAGGGATTGAAAAAGGAAGGATGAATAGTAGGGCAGGTCAGTGTTCTGGAGCCTAAAATTGGAGGTGGTCAGATTTAATAGGAGTAGGAGGAGAAAATGAATTCAAAAAATGTTGAGGGACACCGGAGTGGCTCAATTAAGCATTTGACTCTTGATTTTTGATTTTTGGCTCAGGTTATGATCTCAGGGTTGTGCCCTGCATTGGGCTCTGCGCTGATTGTGAAGCCTGCTGAAGATTTTCTCTCTTCCTCTCTCTCTCTCTCTATCCTCCCCCCTGCTTCTCTCTCTCTCTCTATCACTCTCTCTCTCTCAAACAAATAAATAAATAAAATCTTAAAAAAAAGATGTTGAGTAGATTAAAAATGAGCAAAACCTGGTGATAGAGTGTATGGAGTGATGTAAAGGATGAAATGATGCTAACTCCCAGGTCTCTGGCTACATTCAGCAAAGTCAGGGCACCATTAGCCCAAAAGATGTCTTTTTTTGAATCAGAAAAAGATGCATTTTTCTGACTGGCACCTCTTAAACGTAGGCAGGGAGAGTGGCATGTGTGCAGAGCCCAGAATGGATTTTGGCTTCCACTTGCCCATTGGCTTGGTGCTCTTGCGCAGTGTCTAGTGTGAAGAATTGTCAAGGGGCAGATGGAGACAGACGAGTGACTGGTCCTAACATTAATGCAAATAAGGAGAGAGAGTGTAACTGGGAGGCACTGAGAGGGGCAATGATGAGCTCAGTTGTGAATGTGTTCAGTTTGTCATATCTAGGGTCATTGTGTAGGTGGATGTATCAGGGAAGAAGTTTGGGTATATGATTCTAAAACACTGGGAACTATGATGATTGAGGTCTGCTAAACTTTTTTTTTTAAGTTACATATCAGTCTTAGTTAAAATTATTCCAAGTGAATTATAGCTCCAGTGGTACTCATATAATGCTAGGGGCAAGTTCTCTAAAATGGTTAACTTGCCTATCAAAAGTTCATTCCAAATAACTTTTCAAAGAATATCTACTATTAATGTATTCATTTATTTTTTAAATTTTTAATTGAAGTATATTTGACATATAATATATTAGTTTCAGGAATATAACAGAGATTTGACAATTATATGCATTATGAAATGATCACCACAGTAAGTGTAGTTACCATCTGTCACCATACATTATTATAATATTATTGATCATATTTCCTATGCTGCAGTTTCATCCCTAGGACATATTTGTTTCAGAACTGGAAGTTTAAGCCTCTTAATCCCCTTCACTTGTTTTACTTTTCCTCCTACCTCCCTCCCTTCTGGCAACCACCAGCTTTTTATCTGTATCTGTGAATTTATTTGTTTCTTCATTTGTTTTGTTTTTTAGATTCCACATATAAGTGAATCATATACTATTTGTCTTCTATCCAACTTATTTAGTTTATATAATATCCTCTAGGTTCATCCATGTTGTCTTGAATGCCAGGAATTCATTCGTTTTTATGGTTGAGTATTATTACAATGTGTATATTTACATATATATATATCACATCTTCTTTATTCGTCTGTTGATGGACACTTAAGTTGCTTCCATATTTTTGCTTTTGTGACTAATGCTGCAATAAACACAGGGGTGCATGTATCCTTTTGAATTAGTGTTTTTTTTTGGAGGGTAGTATATATGCCCAAAAGTGGAGTTACTGATTTGTAAGGTATCTCTATTTTTAATTTTTTGAGGAGATGCCAGACTGTTTTTCATAGTGGCTGCACCTGTTTGCATTCCCACCAACAGTGCAAGAGTGTTGGTTCTCTTTTCTCTGTATCCTTGACAACACTTGTTATTTATTGACTTTTTAAAAAAATAGGCTCCACACCCTGCGTGGAGCCCAACTGGGGCTTGAACTCATGACCTCAAGATCAAGACCTGAGCTGAGATCGAGACTTGATGTTTCACTGACTGAACCACTCAGCCACTCCTTTTACTGATTTTTTGATATTAGTTACTTTGACAGATGTGAGGTGATAATCTCATGGTGGCTTTATTTTGCATTTCTCTGATGACTAGTGATGTTGAGAATTTTTTCATGTGTCTGTTAGCCATCTGTATATCTCCTTTGGGAAAATGTCTGTTCAAGACTTCTCCCCATTTTTAATTGTATTCTTTGTTTTTATGTTGTTGAGTTTGCATGAATTATTTTTTTGAAGATTTATTTATTATAGAGGGGGGTAGGGTCAGAGGGAAAAGGAAAGAGAGAGAATCTCCAGCAGACTCCCTGCTGAGCATGGGCCTGATGTGAGATTTAATCTCATTACCCCCGAAGGTCATGACCTGAATTGAAACAGTTGGATGCTCAACTGACTGAGCCCCTCACGTGACCCAGATTCTTTTTATATTTTAGATATTAACCTGTCATCAGATAAATCATTTGAAAAATATCTTCTCCCATTCAGTGGGTTACCTTTTTGTTTTTTTTTTTAATTTTTATTTATTTATGATAGAGAGAGAGAGAGAGAGGCAGAGACACAGGCAGAGGGAGAAGCAGGCTCCATGCACCGGGAGCCCGACGTGGGACTCGATCCCGGGTCTCCAGGATCGCGCCCTGGGCCAAAGGCAGGTGCCAAACCGCTGCGCAACCCAGGGATCCCCTACCTTTTTGTTTTGTTGATGGTTTCCTTTGCTGTGCAAAATCTTTTTAGCTTTGTGTAGTCCTATTTGTTTATTTTGCTTTTGTTTCTCTTGCATGAGGAGACAGATTCGCAAAAACAATACTAAGGCTGATGTCCAAGAGATTACTGCCTCCATTTCCTTTTAGGAGTTCTATTGTTTCATGTTTTACATTTAGGTCTTTGATTTATTTTGAGTTGATTTGTGTGTGTGTGTGTGTGTGTGTGTGTGTGTGTGTGTGTAGCACATGAAAGTGATCCATTTTCATTCTTTATTCTTTTGAATGTAGCTGTTCCACTTTTCTCAATGCAATATATTGAAGAGACTATCTTTTCACCATTGTATTATATTTTTGCCTTCTTTGTCATATATTAATTCACTAGGTAAGTTTGGACTTATTTCTGGGCTCTCTATTCTCTTCTGTTGATCTGTGCATTTGTTTTTGTGTCAGTATTGTATTGTTTATATAGCTTTGTAATATAGCTTCAAAACTGAGATTGTGATATTTCCAGCTTTGTTCTTCTTTTTCAAGATTGCTTTAGTTATTCAGAGTCTTTTTTGGTTTTAAGTAAATTTTAGGATTATTTGTCCTAATTTCAGTGAAAAAATTGGCATTTTGATGTGAATTGCATTGAATATGTAGATTACTTTTGATAGTATGGACATATTAACAGTATTAATGTTTCTAATCCATGAGCATAGAATATCTTTATATTTATTTGTTTCATCTTCAGTGTTTTCATCCGTTGTCTTATATTTTTTAGAGTACAGGTCTTTCAACTCCTTGGATTAGATATTTTCCTAGGTATTTTATTATTTTGATGCAGTTTTAAATGGGATTATTTTTATAATTTTTTCTGCTACTTTTTTCATAGTGCATAGAAATACAGCATATTTCTGGGTGTGAAGTTTGTATCCTGTGACTTTATTGAATTCATTTATTAATTCTGACAGTTTTCTGGTGGAATCTTTAGGATTTTTATAAAGTTGTTCCTTGAAGAATGTGGGGATTAGGGGCACCAATCCCAGTGTAGTTGAAAATTTGCATATAGCCTTCAACCCACCAAAAAACTTAACTACTAAGAGTCTGTTATTGAACAGAAGACTTACTGATAATATAAACAGCCAATTAACCTATGTTGCATATGTTATTTGTGTTATATACTGTATTTTTACATATTTTTATAGTAAAGTAAGCTAGAGAAAAGGAAATGTTATTAAGGAAATCATAAAGAGGAGAAAATACATTTACAGTACTGTACTGTATTTATATGAGTGAACCTATGTAGTTCAAACCTCTGTTTTTATTCTTCATATTGTTAATGTGGTGTGTCATGGTGACTGATCTGCAGATGTTGAACCATTCTTTTATCCCTCGAATAAAACCCACTTAATCATGATTTGTGATCCTTTTTATATGTTGAATTCAGTTTGCTAATATTTTTTGAAGATTTTTTGCATCTGTTTTATCAGGGATAATGGCCTGTAATTTTCTTTTTTTGTGTTATCTTTGTCTGCTTTTGGTATGAGGGTAATACTGGCTTCACAGCATGAATTTGGAAGAGTTTCTTCCTCTTCTATTATTTTGGGATAGTTTAACTCTTCTTTACATGTTTAGTAGAACTTATATGTGAATCCAACTGGTCCATCTGGTTGGGAGTTTTTGATTATTGATTTAATTTTGTTACTAGTCCATTACTATGTATTAGCATACTGAAGAATGATCCATGATAAGTTGGATTGGTAAAATTTTTTATTTTCTCTCTTTCAGATTGCTGTGCTATGCTGTGTATGATAAAAGTCCTTTCACCAAGAATACCTTTGCCTTGACACTTGTGGACAGTCAGACCATGTGAGTATCTGAATAGGTAGATTGCAGTGAATCCGAATTAGTTAAGCTAAGCAAAAAAACCCCAACTCCCCAGACACAAAATGCCAAAAGTATTGTGATTACCAAAGAAATAGTATCTCTTTTCTTTGTGATAATAAATTCTAGATGAGGTGGAAAACTCCGCTCTTTCCCCATTAATGTATTATTATAGTGGGGGACTATAAAAGCAACAGTGAAATTTTTACCTGAGTTCATTTTTCAGGGTATTTATAGCAACCAGTTAGAAGAAGTTTAATGAAAGCATTTTTGGGGTTTGTTTTTGTTATTCTAGCGGTGCAAAACTCCTAAACTTTTTTATGTGGCACTGTTTTACAGAAAAACACTGCTAAGGAGTGCTAAAGTGGCAATGAAACAGCTTAACAGAAAGAGGAAGCTTAATATGGATTCCGAAGAGCATTTGAATCAGGATGGATGCTTGGTAAGGTGTCGATTCCTGGGTTCTTCCTTCTAGTTTGTGCTCACTGTGGGAATTCATAATGTAATTATATAGTTTTTGTAACCACAACAGAGGTGTTTCCTCAGTGACTAGGAGCTGAAACTCTGGTTGAGTTTTGTATACAAAGGTATAGAATATAAATGTTATTAAAACCTGATAACATTTTTAAAGGGTAATCTCCATCTTAAAATAAAAGGAGAAAGATTTTAAGAAAATAAAGTGAAAGGAGACTTTTTCTTTTTAATTTAAAAATTTTAATGTGTATCTTTGAACACGTTTACATGTGGATGTATTTTAAGTATAGCATATTGCATACATGTAAATCAGTCTATTGTACTATGTATACCTCACATGACATGGTAATTAATACAATTATATCTTACAATATTCTGTGACTGGCCAGTGTTTTCCAAGATTTTATGCTTGTATTTACAAACACAGTGCATAGCTATGATAAGATAATTACTTTTGTGAAAAATACTCAAGAGATTTATCTTTCATGATAAATAACTTAGTACTTATGGTTTTATCAAATAGAATTTCTTAAATAATCTCCTTTTCTTTTAATTCCCCCCAAATATACCACACACAATTTATGTCCTATTAAAAAGAGGTATTTCTCGAACTGAAGGTAATTATTTAGTGAATAATCTGAGAAAAAAACCCTAAAAGAGAAAAAAAAAATTTAACCCGCCCTCCCAAAATCAGTTATCTAACAGTTGTTTACAGACTTAATTTGATGTGGAGACAGACTAAAAGGTTAAGAGTAGTTATTACTAAATGATTGGTTATAGGTGCTTTTTTTTTTTTTAGACAATATATTTTCAGAAGATTTTATTTATTTATTCACGAGAGACACAGAGAGAGGTGGAGACATAGACAGAGGAGAAGCAGGCTCCCTGCAGAGAGCCCGATGCGGGACTTGATCCCAGGACTCTGGGATCAGGCCCTGAGCTGAGGGCAGATGTGCAACCACTGAGCCACTCAGGTGTCCCCAGGTGCTTTTTTTATATTGTCTTTTCTATTCAAATATTTTACCATTAACATGTGTTACTTTTTGAACTAGAGATAAAGTTATGCATATGTATATAAGAAAATGCCAGAAAGTAAATCCATCAAGTATTAGTCCTGGTACATCTTAGTGGTAGTTTTAGAAACTAACCTACCTCCTACCTTCCTTTCTTTTTAAATATTTATTTATTTGAGAGAGAAGGTGCACATGCACATGTGAGCAGGGGTAAGATGAAGGAGCATGGAGAGAGAGAATCCTCAGGCAGACTCTGCTCATTGTGGAGCCTGACATGGGGCTCAATCTCAGGCCCCTGAGATCATGACTTGAGCTGAAATCAGGAGTTGGCCACTTAACTGACTGAATCACCCAGGTGCCCCAAAAGACTTTTCTACTGTAATGATAGAGAAAATTGATCATTATCAAGTGAGGGACAGAGACTGTGAACTGGAGGACATTGTGTCTCTGTCAGGGTTCTCCAGAGAAACAGAACCAATGGGAGTAGTTGACAGTGCTATCATAATCCCTGTTCACAGTCTTGGTCCCTACTTGATGATGATAAATTATATGTTTATGTATATGGATAAGTTTATTTTAAGGAATTGATTCAAACAATTCTGGGGGCTGACAGGTCTGAAATCTGTAGGGCAGGTTGGCAGGCTGGAGACCCAGAAGAGAGTTGATGTTGCAGCCTCGAGTTCAGAGGCTTTCTGGAGGCAAAATTTGCTCTTCCTCAGAGAGGTCATATTTTTCCTCTGAAGGCCTTCAGCTGGCTGGATGAGCCTGCCCCACTCTGGAGGGTAACGTGCTTTACTCAGTCTACTATTTGACTGTTAATCACATCTAAGAAATACTCAGTGACACCTTGACAGCTAGAGTGTATAATATACATCTTGCTTCTAGTTTACCTGTGCTCTTTCCTGTGGCAATTTTTTGTATTCCTACAAATTTTAAGGTGGCAGAATTGACCAGGAGACCTTCACAGTGACTGTTTTGGTGATAGTGGGCCATTAGAGCATTCTCATTAGTGACCTTCTCATGGGCCATCAACATGTATTAGGGTATGGATTTTGGGGTCTGTGTGTGGGTTGTGGTTATATATTTACATATTGCCGTTGGTGAAGTGACACAATGTCATACAGTCCTTGATTTGATGTCAGATTTGGTATGGTTTGATTTACTCCTAGCATTAAATAAGACATGTGAAATGATGATCTACACAGTTTTAAGAGGTTAAGTGTAGGTCTCTGTCCAATTACAGAACTGTATCCTCAGGATCAGCCTCCTTGGGAGGTGAGGTGGTTAATGTGGGCCCAAGGTCCAGTTCCCCCTGAGCCAGATTGGCTTCATCTCAGTTCTATGAGACTTGATTGCTCTAATTGTTCCTCTAAGGAGTTCCTTACACCAGACTTAGGAAGACCTGCACCTGTCTCAACTTAATGTGAGGATGCTATTTTTCTCAGCATTTTTGGTTTGTTGTGTCATGCCCTCTGAGGAGACAAGGTATTTGATGTGTTCACAATTGTTCTGAGATAGCTGTTCTTTAGCCATGGTCTCTAGAACAGCAGCATCAGCATCACCTGGGGGTTTGCTAGAATTTCTTGGGCTTTACTCCAGACCTACTGGATCAGATATACTGGGGTGAGGCTCAGCAGTCTGTATTTTATCATGCCTTGAGGTGATTATGGTACACGGTCATGTTTGAGAACCATTGTCCGAGGAAACAGCGAGGCACATCTTATCTACTAATTGTCCTATACTTAATCAGTATTGGCTGTTGCATATTTCTGACATTTTTAGTTTAATATTTGAGACCACCTCTCCTGTCCAAACATATTTGCAACCTTTTCTCAGTATCATTCCTGTCAAGCTGCTGAAGTTATTACTGTTCTTTTTCAGCACTTCCATTATCTTGCCCTACAACATGAATATTCAGCCTTTGGTCTTTTCTATATTGGCACAAATCAAGTTTTATCTTGAAAAAAAATTTTTATCTTGAAGCCTAATTTGGTTTCCAACTTGATTCCAGTGATTTTTATAATTATCTCCTTTCCATATTAGGATTTTCCCATTTTTGAATCCCAGAAGTGCTCAGCACTTATATAGGTGCTGTTTAAGTGTGGCATCTTGCATGGCTGGGTTTCCACAAACATCTGTTGAATGATGTTCCTAGTGTTTAATGGCATCTCCAGGCCAAGTGGACTTCTTTGATCATAGTAAGATAATGACATTTCAAAGGGCTGTATTACCGACATGAGTTTTGAGGTGTTTGGGACACGTAATTGTTTTAAAGAATATTCATATAGGTTAATAGGAAAGATATGCCTTAGGGGCTCATTATCAGTTACAGTGTCCACCTTAATTAGATATATTTAATAGTTTAATACAATAAGCTGATTTATATCTGTGTCTACATTCACTGTGGAGAGAAAGGGATTCAGTCATGCTTGAGTTTGATTACTAAAATCATGTTTGAAATTTGCTTGAAATATCACTAACAATCTTTATTTTCTGTGTTACCCAAATGATATTACAAGTGACATTTCCAGTCAACTAAGCAAAATAGCATCGCTAGATTAAGTACATTAAACATATAACTGATGAACTGTTGGATACTTTCTAAACCTCTGCTTTTGAGGTAGTAATTTTATATCTTCAATATCTGGTAATTTCCAGATGCTGATAATAATATCTGTCAGTGAATGTCTTCTTATATTGAAATTTTCTATGTATTTCTTCATAGAACTTCAAAAGCATTTCGTGATGTTTTTCAATATACAGGCACATAGTTTTAAAAAATACTACAAATAGTACAAAAATAAGAAGTAAATTCTCTACTGTACCCACTCAAACACATGCTAAACCCCCAAATCTTTTTTTTTTTTTAAGGAGAGAAAGAGAGAGCAGGGGAGGGGCAGAAGGAGAAGGGGAGAGAGAATCTTAAGTGGGTCCATACCCAGTGCAGAGCCTGACATGGGACTCAGTTTCAGGACCTTGAGTCATGATTTGAGGTGAAATCAAGAATTGAATGCTTAACTGACTACGCCACCCAGGTGCCCCACCCCAGTTTTTTTTAGAGATGTGACCACTGTTTATTTTTTCTTGCGTATCTGTCTAGATTGGAATCAGAAGCAAAAAAAAAAAAAAAAAAAAAAAAAAAAAAAAGAAGCTAAAAAACGCAAACCCTTTCTGCACACATACATACATAATACATACTACATGCACACATGTATCCCGAATGGGCTCATACTCTTTCCAATATGGTATCTTGCTTTTTTTTTTTTTTTTTTGGCACCTAAGCCTGTATGTCTTGGAGATGCATGCAGATATTGTCACTGTGTTCAGTGGTGCTTAGTATTCTACTCTGTGAAGGTACCATAATTCCTTTACACAGTACCTTTCTCTAAACATTTAGATAATTTTTAGTTTTTGTTGCTGTGTTAAAACCAAATGTTCTTATTCATATATTTTGGTATGCTTTTGTCGTTGATTCACAGATAAAATCTTATCAAGAGACTTGTCATACTAAAGACTTACATGCATTTAAAATCTTGGTAAGGTTTTTGTATCATCTTCCAGAGGGGTCATCCCAGTATATAGTCTCTCTCACACAATCTGCAAGAGGACTTCCAATACTTAGGTTTTATTACCTAAGTAATAAAACCTCCATGCCTTTGGTTATGGAGAATTGTTATGTGGATGAGCTTCATTTACCATGCCAGTTCATGGACTGCTGCAGGTTGAAGAGAGGAGTTTACCTGTCTCTGTTAGATTCCTTAACACGGGAAGCTTTTTCATGCAGCCAATACAAAGACAAGCTTCCTTTTTATTGTCATTTGTTATTTTCCACTCACTACTGTTAGAATTGACTGGCAAAGCGCAGGTACTTTATAATTGAGCTTTTTTTTTTTTCCAATGCAATTTCATAGGTGTTTGGTGTGCATGTGGGTGTTATGGACATGAAACCCCAAAT